AAAAAAAAAAAAAAAAGAATTTCTCTGAAAAACATACTAGCAGAATCTAGTTTCTTTTGCTAGACTTTATGAAAATAAGTGCATAAATGTTTTAAATATTGAAGTAATATAAAAATTGAAAGGCTACTCTCCCTGAAATAACTTGAGAAATAGCCTCTGTAAATAAGTTTTCACTGTTCTTTCAGACCTTCTTCTACATATACATACAAGCTCACATACATACTCCACTGACATGTTTTCTTTAATTCTTTAATTTGCTTTTTTTCACTTACCGGACACTGTACAACTTCCCACTTCAGTACATAGAGAGCTATCTTATTTCTGGTGCATAAATTATTTGATAACTTTACATTTAAGAAGTAGATCCTAATTGCCCATCCCTCAAATGTGGGCTGGATTTAGTCACTTCTAATAAACAGGGAAAAAAAAAAAAACAAAGGAAAAGTAGTGGTGTAAACTTTGGAGACTAGGTCATAAAAGGCACTGTACCATCCTCCCCCTCTCCTCAGACCACTAGCTGTGGAGAAGCTATCTGCCATGTTATGAGAACATTTAGGCAGCCCAGTGATGAAGAATTGAGGTCTTCTGCCCTCATTGAGAAATGGGGCCTCTTGCCAACAGCTCTGTGTATAAACCACCTTAGCAGGGTATCTTCCAACCCCAGTGCATCCTTCGGATGACTGCTGTCCCTGCTGACAGCTTGACTGCAACCTCACAAGAGACCCTCAGACAGCTGTGTTCCTAGGGTCCTGACCCCTAGAAACTGGGTGAGATAATGTTTGTTATTTTAAGCTAAGTATTACAATAATTTGTTATGCAAAAATAGATAATATGTTATCTTTTGTAAAATTTACATAGCATTTCTCTTTATTGACATCTAAGATTTAACTCTTCCTATAATATGGACTTAAGACAGTTTTTAGTTTCTTGGCTATAACAATATAACAGTCAAGAATTCTCCTAAATATATCATAACCTCTCACTCATAATACTATTTCTGCAACATAAATTTCTAAAAGTTAAATTGTCAGGTATATGCATTTTGGGTTAGCAAGAAATACTATAAGATTTCCCTTGAAAATAATATTTTAGAGTATGTGACAAGTATTTTCCTCCACTAGAAAAATAAAAGCAGGACTCGTATATTAAAGTACAAGTAAGTACAATTTATCTATACAGAATAAAAGTAAAGAAAAAAATTATATAAGGAATAAAGATAACAAGTAAGCTATTAACAGACAAAAAGATACTAAAATTGAGTTTTAAAATATAGTGGTACTCTGCTTGCAAGAGATACATACCAAACTGATGAATTCTGAAAGATTAAACATGATTTGGCTAATTGCTTCCTTATTCTTTACTCCATTACTGTCAACTCATTCTTTTGCTCCAGAGACTTGATTAGATGAAGCTTCAAATGTATATTTAAACCCACAGGAAAAAAAGCTAAGAAATAATAATAAACACAACATTTAGAAGAGGGTTAGAATGAAATTATGGAGTCATCAGGGGGCTTTCTAAAGTATTTTCTGGTCTAGATCATAGGTTTTCATGTTGTTATTATATTTTAAATTATATACATGTTTTTAAATATTCAGACATATGTAATAAATCACAATAAAATTCAAATTACATAAAATGTGATATAGAGTTTAGACATATATTACAAAGTTTGGTTTTTTTTTTTTTTAAGAGACAGAGTTTTACTTTTATCACCCTCGGTAGAGTGCCATGGCAGTGTCACACACACAGCTGACAACAACCTCCAATTCCTGGGCTTGGGTGATTCTCTTGCCTCAGCCTCCCGAGTAACTGGGACTACAGGCACTCACCATGACACCCAGCTATTTTTTTGTTTCAGTTTGGCTGGGGCTGGGTTTAAACCCACCACCCTCGGTATATGGGGTCAGCACCCTACTCACTGAGCCACCGGTGCTGCCCTATTACAAAGTATTTTTAAGTGACATTTATAATAACATAAAATATTAATTCCTAAAAATAAACTTACCAAATACTATAGTCTTACAAATCGATAGGATAAAAATAGTGTTGAAAAAAAATAGGAAGAACCTGCTCAATCTTAAGTAGGAGAAATAAATTTTATTCTAACTAAATTTATCTCTATTTTCAATCAGATCTGATCAAGATACTAACAAGATTTTGATGTGGGGATGGAAAAGATCTGACAAACTGGTTTTCAAGTTCTTTTGAAGTGAGAAGAAAATTGTTAAAGAGGAATAATGAGGAAAGCCTAATCCAACACCCTAACTAGACATTAGGGAAAAAAATTTAAACTTGATTCTCTGCCTCAATTCTTATTATGTTTTAGTGACTAAAAAGAGTGATATCAGATATGCATTATAGTTTAAATATTAACAAATGTAACAGCAATCAACTGTAAGTTTTTTCTATATGTCAAGCATTGTCCTTTGTTTTTTACATGTATGATTAACAGCCCTACGTAGTAAGTTTTCTTTCCCCACTTTAACAGTGAGAAACTAGTTTAAGTAACTCAATCTAATTTACAGTATTAAGAAGTGGTAGAGACATGAAACTTACATAGTATATCCAGAATCTGTATTTCGACCAATATGCTATAATGATAAAACATACTGAAAGGTTACTTACATACTCAATATTTGTGTTAATTATTACTTTTTAAAATGGGAATCATTATCATGCTATTCTGTGAAATATTCCTAATATATGTTACTCTTTCTTTTCTTATCCCCATTGACTAAAAAAAGAAAAGTTACATTCCTTTTCATTGCCTACTAAGCAGACTACTTAAATTAATCATAGGAAGAGAATTTTAAATAAAGAATGGTATATACCTGGAATGGGACACTCAATTCTTATAAAAACTTATGCTACCAAAAAAAGTGCTTGGAAAAATGCTCATATGTTAAATGAGCATTTGTAAAAAATTATACAAATAACAATCAATCATACATTCAACAAATATTTACTGAGCACCAAGGTAGAGTTCTATATACGCTGGGGACACTCCCTGCCCTCATGGAGCCTGTCACAATTCAAATTTTTATGTATATACTAGTCTCTCTATATACACATTATGAATATGCATATACACCTGTGTATTTTTACACATATGTATGTACATGTATGCATACATATTAGTGTTTATATGGATTAGTCTGTATGTACCTTAATAATTAGATAAAAGACTACAAGCAAATATACCCAAATATCAATAATGGCTGCCTCTGGTTACATGAAGGAGCCTCTAAATGGTACACAAGAATAGATAACAAATTAAACATCAATAGCTGTCCATAATGTGGCTTGACTTTATACATTCATACTTATTCTCCCCTGGAACTAGACCATTTTCTTTACTTGTCCCTCAAATACTGAGACTCAGTGTTGACTCTCCTATCTAGAATGGTATCTTCCTATTCATAATGATTATTCAAATCTGATTCTGCTGCTGTGTTAAGTGCCACTCCTTCTGGTCCTGTTTAATGTAGATAATTTCAGAAATTATTACTAACCTCATATGATTTATTCCCTAGTGTTAAGACATATTTCCTTATCTCAGAGCACCAAGAACTGTATGAACTATATAGCAGACTTGAGTGACTGAATGAATGAGTAAATGCTGGGAAAAAACTTTGGGTAAGGGTAGAGGCATGCTGCATAGAAGGCTAGGAAGCTTCTCAGGCAACCAAGGAGCATTTTCTATGCAGTCTGATCCATCCATCTTGATTGCCACTTATACTATCACGGCTCATGGAGAATTCAAGATCATTTTATAAATAAGAAAAGACAATAATACTCACCTGGGATCAGACTGTGAGGAAAATGGTGGACACTCCTTCTTCCTTTGTGCTCCTCTTCTAGGGAAGGGTAGAGCGCTGAAATGGCTAAGCTAAGGGAGAAGAAAAGAGGAGTGAAAAACTGGGCATGACTCCAAATTCCCAAACTCATTCAAGTCTCCATACACTATACTGGGTATGACCCCCTAAATCTCTTAGAAAAAGGTCAAAAAGAACCTAAGAACAGTTCCATTCCCTTTCAATGATGAAAAATGAGAGCTATGAACACTGGCATCTTGGAATTTATTTCTGACTCTCCAGAAACTTCAAAGGATACAACTCTAGTTTGGACTTGAAAGCACAGAATTTGACTTCACTGTTTAGTTCCTCCAGAGATGCAGATGCTTTCTATCTCTCTGAGCCTCAAGGCTTTATTTTATTAATTATATTCATATTACGTAGATGATTAAAAACAAGAATAAAAGTAATAGAAATAATGGCAGTACACTTAAATAGTTTCCATACTTAAAGTATTTTTCTCATTTTTTTCAATCGACGTCATTGCCCTCCCCTACTTGTTACAACAGACATATGGATTCACAATCAAAGAGGTACCAGGAATATTGGAGAAGTATCCCAGATTTATGGATTGGCTCCCAGGTCTTGATTACAGTCTCAACTATGCCATCAACCATCTGTTGAACTTTAAGAGACAAAACTAGATCTCCTAAGGCCTCTGTTTCCTCACCTGTACAATGGGGGCATGAGCCTTTGCCACCCTGATCCTTCCTTGGCGATCACAAGTAGGTCCCTGGGAAAAATGATAAGCAATTAGTCGAGACCCCTCTCTCTTTAAAGAGAAAAACGCTTCATTCATGTGCACCCCAAAAGCAGGCCAGATAGACGCTGCCGCAGACTCTGCCCGCCACGGGCTGCTAGAGTGTAAACACCGGAGACACATACGTACGAATGTTTCTCAAAGAGCAGAATCACCGAGTATCAAGTCCACATAGCTCTGCGGGGCCTCAGCGTCTACAGCGAAGCCGTGCGTGGCCTCCGTTGCTCATCCGGATACCCGGGCTGAGCTCCACCTCGACACCTACCCATATCTAGAGCTCCAGATGCCTCTACCCTCCCCTCTTCTTCCCCTATTCATTTGTAACCAGGGAGGGAAGCCGAGAAGGACCCACCTACAAGGGTGTCTCCAATTTCTAAGCCAGCGTCGCTTCTCAGCCCCTGACCCTAGCTATTCGGCCACTGTTCCTTCAGCCACAACTCATACAGCCCTTGTCCACTTCTGGCTCTGTCGTCTCGAGAGTCCACATCACTCGCAGAGCCTCCAAGGAGAAACCAAAACATTCAGTCCACAAAAACAATGGCTGCGGCCAGGCAAGACAGAACCGGAAGTCCCTGGACCCAGAGTAGACACTCCAAGTGTTTCCATGGATACTGGAGGGGCGGGGCGGGGAGGGAAGAGAGAACGCCGGAGAACGTGACTTCTGATTGGCCAGAAGGATGAAGGCGCTTCCGGGCCTTTACCCTTTGGCTTCTATTCCTGGAGAAGTGTGCACCGTGGTACTTCAGAGCCAAGGAATGGGGCAAGGAAACCCCGACATTAAAGGAATAGGACTATTCTTGTTGCTTTTAGGGCCTCGGGAAAGAAGGTGCGGCTAGGGCTTCAGGGAAGCCGAACGGGAACGGCTTCGGAGAATTCTGGAACCCTCACAGCCTTCTGGGACCGAACTCCTGAACGGGAACCCCAAGAAACACTTGGGGGCGACTTGTCAAGTCGCCTTTGGTTGGCGAGGCGTGGTTATGCCCGCTGTCCAGCGCCCTGGGCGGGATGGGCACCCCGGTAGCCCGGGCCCTGGCTAGCATCGCCCCTAAACTCTAAGTTGGAGGTCCCCAGCCATGGAAAGGGCTTTTTGAACTCCGTCTTCATGTTGCCTGGGATCCACTTCGTTCTTGGTCCAGTCGGGCTTTTTTCCTTCCCGCCTTCCTGCCTAGTCCTAGGCTCTTCAGGAGACTCCAGGCAGAGGAGGGAAGGGCAAAGTGGGAATAAGATGAAGTCGGGGTGGGATGGGGGAAGGAGCTCTTCCTTGGTTTCCTGGGAACGCAGAAAAAGTTCCATGCACCTGCTCTCCTGGTATTGAGTGTGTAATACTAGGGAAATGTTTTCACTTCTTAAAGCCCACTCTCTTAAACTTGGGCTGCATCAGTAGTAGTTAAACGCTTTATTAGGCAAGAAGCCTTTGTAGGGTAGTCCTTAAAAGCAAGGGGCACCTTGGATTCTAATCTGGCTACATCACTTTTTTAGGCGGGGAGATACTGTTTCACTTTGACACCCTGGCGTTATAGTTCACAGAACCTCAAATTCTTGGGCTCCAGTGATCCTCTTGCCTCAAGCCTCCCAAGTAGCTGGGACTACAGGCGCCCACCACAATGCCAACTATTTTTGGAGACGGAGTTTTGGGGTCTCTACCTCAGGCTAGTCTCCAACTCTTGAGTTAAGGCAGTCCACCCGCCTCGGCCTCCCAGAGTGCTAGGATTACAAGCGTGAGCCACTGCGCCCGATCTAAACATCATCTATTAATATTAACCTTGAATTACTTAACTTTTTAGTGTCACCTTAAGAGACGTAATATTAATAGGTATAATAATAGTAACTACTTCACAGCCTTATTAGACTTAAATGACTTAGTATAGTTAAAATGCTTAAATCGGTTTTTCACACATTTGGTACTCTAAAAATTAACTGTTTATGATTCAATGTTTAGCAGGGGTGGGTGACCAAGAACCTATCTGCTTGGGCCCAACACACAATGAGCACCTTGATTTCTTACAACTCTGGAGAGATTTTATTTTTGTTCATGGACCTCTCTCTGGCTTGAACTTTCAGAAACAATGTGGAATAGTGTTTAAAAACTTGGACTTTGTCATCTGAAAGAACTAGTTTAAAATCTGTCATTGTTGTCCACTAGATGATGAAGAGTCGGTTATTAAACCTCTCTCATCTGTAAGATGAAGACTTCAGTAAGTGGTTAAGTGGTTATAATTGATAAAGTCCTGAATACACAGATGTTGACCAATCAGAATGAACACTGAAAGTGGGGGATTCTGCCATGCTGCCTCCGACCCATAGAATATTAGGATTGTGAGGAATAATGTGGATAATCCACAGAATTTACTTTTTAGCATTCCTAGCACATAAAAGATTAGCTGTTGATGTTATTTAACTCACATTCTCATTTTTTAAAAATAGTGTGTATTGAGACAAAATTATTTTGTAGAAGAGGATATGAGAAGTGTAACTCAGTCTTCTGGACTTGGATCATTTTTTAATTTATTTTGAGAGGAAAGTGAAACCTAGGATTTTGTTTCAAGCAAATGATTGTTTGCTAATTAATTAAGAACACTAATCCTTAAGGCCTTTTACTCCCAGACACACTGATTGTGTCTTCTCTATGCCAAAGTTGGTGAAAACTGTAGAAAATCAGAACCTTTCATATTAAAGAGAATGAGTAGGTCTCCCATTTCATAAGGTCAATCACAGAAAAGGGCAGTAACTCTTATGGTAAAGATGTATATGGATTATGGGGGGATATTCTAAGAAATGGCTGTCTAAAAGAACTTCTCAGGCGGTGCCTATGGCTCAAAGGAGTAGGGCACTGGCCCCATATGCCAGAGGTGGCAGGTTCAAACCCAGCCCTGCCAAAAGCTGCAAAAAAAAAAAAAAAAAAAAAGAACTTCTCTATTCCCTGCTAAGCTATCTGATCCTATACCAGAAAACTGAGACTTACAGATAAAAACCTTAGGATTAGAGCACTACCTTAGAGACTTGGTGTTGGACCTCGCCCCATCCCCTTCCTTGTGGTCTGGATAAGAACGTGGGGCACAGCATCACAGTCTACACATGAGAACTTAAATGTGGCATTTCTTAAAAATAACCCTGGACCTCAGATCTGTGGACCCCTAAAAGACCTGTTTCAATTCAATGGGATTCCTTGACTCCAAAATGTCCAGGAAGAAGCTGATAATGTAAGCCAACTATCCCTGTGCTGAGTCTCATAGATCGTAAGGAGACTAGGGAGAAAAAAAGATTTTTATCCAGGTGCCCCTGTAGGCAAATGGAAAGCTTCATGCTGCCATTCAATGGCCAAAAAAAGTAGAGACCACTTTGTTATCTCCTGTGTGTAGGACTGCTACCACTTACAATATTCTATTCACTATACCTGGACCTTGGCGAACTGATGATAATTAGTTTTTAAGAGATAAGAGTGTCCAGTTGTTAGAGAAACAAATAGAATGTGCATCTGAAGAAATATACCTGCTGAATGATGAAGGACAACATAAATAACAAAGAGCATCATGTGCAGAACCCATAGGCTTTTTGGAAATTAACTCTATTTATCTTCCTGATTAAGCACTGTAATAATTGAATTAGAGGAAAAGTATGGTCACTTTTGAGTCAAAATGTAACCAATATGGTTTAGTAATTAAGTCCCTGAAAGCACAGAGGGGAAAAAATTGATAAAAATCGTGAAGAAAAAAGACAATAGGCTTAAAGGATAGATCTATGAGATTTAATATGAAGACACAAAAGTTCTAGAAGGAAATACAGAGTTGATAAAAGTGAGGGCCAGGTGTGGTGGCTCACACCTGTAATCCTAGCATTCTAGGAGGTAGAGGTGGGTGGATCGCTTGAGCTCAGTAGTTCCAGACAACCCTGAGACGCCATCTCTAAAAACTGGTCAGGGGTTGTGGTGGGCACCTGTAGTCCCAGCTACTCTGGAGGCTGAGGCAAGAGAATTGCTTCAACCCAAGAGTTTGAAGTTTCTGGGAGCCATGTCACCATGGCACTCTATGGAAGGTCACAAAGTGAGACTATGTCTCAAAAAAAAAAAAAAAAAAGGCTATAATCCTAGCAATCTGAGAGGGGAGATGGGTAAATTGCTTGAGCTTACAGGTTTAAGAACAGCCTAACAAGAGCGAGACCCTGTCTCTACTAAAAATACAAAAAACTGGCTCGGCGCCGATAGCTCAACCGGCTAAGGCGCTAGCCAAGTACACCTAAGGTGGCGGGTTCGAATCCCCAGCCTGGGCCCGCCAAACAACAATAACGGCTGCAACCAAAAAATAGCCAGGCGTTGTGGCAGGTGCCTGTGATCCCAGCTACTTGGGAGGCGGAGGCAGGAGACTCGCTGGAGCCCAGGAGTGGGAGGTTGCTGTGAGCTGTAATGCCACGGCACTCGACCCAGGGGGACAGCTTGAGGCTCTGTCTCAAAAAAAATAAATAAATAAAAATAAAAATAAAAATACAAAAAACTGAGGCAAGAGGATTGCTTGAGCTCAAAGAATTGGAGGTTACCGTGAGCTATGATGAGGCCATGGCACTCTACCCAGCTTGAGACTATCTCAAAAAAAAAAAAAAAAAAAGTTGATAAAAGCAAAGAAACTAATGAATAACAAAATGATAGAAAATCTCTCTGTGTTAAAAATTTGTTTAAAAAGCTCAAATCTGCAGATCTAAAGAACACTCAGACTAGCCATATAAAGGTATAATTCCTATACTCTTAAGAGTGAAGAGAATACATGCAAATTTTCAGGCAAAAGGGGCAAGTTATCTGAAAGAAAAATGACATTGGCCTTCTCATTTTTAATGCTGTAAGCTAGAAAACTGTACAGAAATATGTAGACCAATAAAAAGGCTGCAATCTATAAGCCAAAATATATCCTAGGAAAAGACATATTTGAAAATTTGAAGAATTCAGAGTTTGTATTGCTCAGTTCTCCCTCATCTGAAGAAACAATTCAAGAAAGGACTCCAAACAACAAATAAACCAAAAAGAGAGATCCCCCACAAAACAAGTATGGGAAAGGAAACAGAGAAAGCCATAATATAAAATAAATAATAAACCTAAAGTAACATATATAAAGAATACAATAAATTATCAGTAGTTATGCTAAGTTGAATGGTCTGTATTTTCCTATATATTTTTATTTATTTACGTATTTAATTTTATTTTTTTCTGAGACAGAATCTCACTCGGCCACCCTGGGTAGAGTGTAATGGCATCAGCCTAGCTCACAGCAAACTCAAACTCTTGGGCTCAAGAGATCTTACCTCAGCCTCCATAGCTGAGACTATAGGTACCTGCCACAAAGCCCAGATAGTTTTTCTATTTTTAGTAGAGATGGTGGTCTCACTCTTACTCAGGCTGGTCTCTCACTCCTGAGCACAAGCAATATACCTGCCTTAGCCTCCTAGAGTGCTAGGATTGCATGCATGACCCATCA